TCTATCTATCTATCTATCTATCTATCTATCTATCTATCTATCTATCTATCTATCTATCTATCTATCTATCTATCTATCTATCTTTTATCATCTATGTATCTATCTATCTATCATCTATCTATCTATCTATCTATCTATCTATCTATCTATCTATCTATCTATCTATCTGCATCCATCCATCCATCCATCCATCCATCCATCCATATTTTTCAACATAGTAACAAAATAGAACAAACAAAAGCAAAGTGTTGAAAATAAGAATTGAAGAAAAAAGGTAAGAAAAAGAAAAAAAAACATACAATTATGACTTCCAACCTTCTTTCTATCCGGTATTTCTCATCTGAATCTTTTCCCAACTTCTGTCCTTTTTTAACCCTAAATCCAATGATTTTTGTGTGTGTGAGTTTCAGGAACAGGATGGTAGATAAGTAAGAGAGAGATGCAGAGTACAGTGATAAAAAATGATTTTAGAAAAGCATCAAAAACACCAAAAGATAATTTTACACGGAAGATCTGGCATATTCCCACATGATGGGAGTACTCTTGAGATCTCTAGTGGTTAGCTCAAGTCCTTGAAGGCAAAATAAGTGTGAAGGGTTTTGTTAAATAAGGCCAAGATGGGGTCCATATGGATCTCAGGCAGGGGTGGCATTCAGCCGGTTCGGACTGGTTCGAGCGAACCAGTATTGGTGAGCAGCAGATGGGCCCGCCCACCCATCCCAGCTCTATGCCATCCTATTTAGCCACATTTTCTAAGCCGCATGATTGCGTGCAAGCCACACGCATGAGCAAAGTGCATGCGCAGAAGGCGCACATGCTCACAAAGCAAGCATGCATGCATGCTCAGTTTCAGTGTGGGTGAACTGATGGTAGAATTACCATATTTTGGCTGCTGGCTGCATCAAGAGGATGCAACACAAAATATTTCTAGCTCAGGACATTTCATTACTAGACTAGGTAACACCATTAGTGCACTAATTAGTCTGGTAACCAAATGTTATATTAGCTTACCTAGGGCTCCCAATTCCCCGTTAAACCCAGTTACCATTTTGCACGGTGTTGCCTTCCAAATCTTCAGCTTTTTTATTTCTCCTTATATATATTTTTTTTATCCTGCAGTGGGGCCACCTGGGATTTACAACCAGAGAAACTTGACTTCACACAGTTCCACAGAAAACTTCGCAACACTCCCAAGCATCCACTTCCACAGATAGACAGAGAAGGGTAAGTATCCGGGTTTATACGAAAGAAACAGTTTTAAAATGCAGGAAATTAGTTTTGCTACCCTGGTGATTTTCCTGGCTTTGCAGAGCATCTGGGGCTAATCACAGAATTCCTAGCCATCAGACAGCAGATAACAAGTTGGAGAGAATCAGAATAAATAGTGATCAAAAGGCAGAATGGCTTCAGTCACTTGAATTGAGCATGTAACGCCATGCCAGTTGGCTGCTTGTGACAATACTGTACAACCTATGACCATAATTCAGCCCAAAATTTGTGTTGCTAAGTGAGACAGTTAAAAGAGCTAAGACTCAGAATGCATATTTTACAGTGTGAGATATTAACAAATCCGTTTGAATCTGCAATCCTGTTACCAGTTGTGTCTCGCAGTCAATTCACATGTTACTGTTTTGATTTGGTATAAATATTACCAAGCGCATCCATTTATGTATACTGTATTTTTCGGAATATAAGACGCGCCAAGATTTTGAAGAGGCAAATTTAAAAAAAAGATTTTGCACTTTGCAGACCTCCCAAAAACGGAGGTCAACAAAAGGGTATGCATAGCCTGCCTTTAGGAGGCTTACAGAATGTTCCTGGGGGCTGGGGGGGGAGCAGAAACAAGCGAAAAACGGCCCGTTTTCCCCTCATTTCTGCCCTCCCCAGCCCCCAGGAGCACTCTGTAAGCCTCCTAAAGGCTCTACACGGCCATTTTGGTGAAGGGAGCAGGGTTTCGGGAGGCCAAAAATGCTGTATTCAGTGTATAAGACGCATCCAGATTTTCACCCTCTTTTCT